TATAGTACCCTAAATAGTAGGATCCTCATTGTAAGGACCCCAAATTAAGGTACCCCTAATGCTCGAAAACTCCCATTTCAGTGTACAAAACTCACAGGCCCACCAAGGCCACCCTAAAGTCTAATTAAACGGCACAAGGCCGACAACCTCGAGTTCGTAGATGTGCTTAAGTTCACGGCTTCGGAACCGCAGATGCACGCTGCCTGCCTCCTACTGGGGCCCTTGGGTTGCGATTTCTTACGTATCGGCTTCCTTGGAAGCGTCGTGTGTAGCAAAGGTCAGAAACTCTCAATCCCAAATGCAATACAGGTTACTTCAGAAGGACTGAGCCCTGAAACCCATGTCCTATCACCCCACAATCCCAACTCCCAAACCCCGCTGGGAGCCGTTTTTGATGTCCAGGCCGAGGCCACGGAAGAGAGCCAACCTTCGACACCTTCGAAGAAGGTGGGCTTTAGGTTTAAGAACTTAGCGGTTTTAAGGGCTTAGGGTTTGAGGATTCAGGTTTATAGGGTTTGGGGTTTAGAGTGGGCGTTGTGTTTGTGAGCTTCCTGATCGTTATGGAAGCATAAGAGTTCTTGATAATAAGTTATGGCTATGTGTGTTAACAAAGGTTGCATTGGACTTACTCAGAGTTTGTTGATTGTTACGTATATGGTTTTTTACATTTAAATGGTTTTCTTTAAGGGCTTGATAGGGATGCTCGTGAGGGTTCAGTGACAAGCCTTTGGGGACATGTTCGGGAATCTTGGGTTCGGCTTCAGCATTGCTTTTAGCCTTGCACTGTCTTCAGGGGGTTTGCAAATGTGTCATGTTTTATCAGTTATGAGCCTTTTCCGGGCTTATATGTGTTAAAGGGGTTGGCGGGATTCCGAATTCGGGTCGCCAGATAAGTTCGAAAAGAACCAGCCCTAAACCCATAAACCCTCAACCCTAAATCGTCATGCCATGCCTACTTGAACCTGTCTATCCGAGCCCTCAGACATCCCGAACATCCCCAAGTCCCAGCATAATGGGCGATATAATGGGTATATAACAGCTATATTAAGGGTATATGCCTAGCGGTCCTTATTAAGGGTCCCTTCCTTTAGCCGTGGAATTCCCTACACTGTGAATATGCAGCCCTGATCCGAACCCTGCTACGATTCCTAGTTCTATACTTCAAGCTTCAGGCCTTAATCCATCAAATCCGACACCCAAAACCCCACAAGACCTTATAAACCCCACTTTAAATCTCTTAAAATCCTCAAATCCTACACCCTATCAACCTTAAACTCTATGCAGCCTTGCAAACCCATCTACAACCCCTAGCAGGTGCTGACTCGTCGCCCTTTCTCTCCGCGGTCTTCTGCCTCACCCTCCTCGCCGGCTTCTCCAAGAACGCCAGTTTCCGAGGTTCGGGTTCGGGGTGTAGAGGTTTTTTGGGCTTGGGGTTTAGGGGGGTAGAAGCCTAGTCCATTTTTTTACGTGCATGAGGGTCTAGACTAGAGGGTTTGAAGTTTACTTTCGGGGGTCAGGGTTTATCCACCTTATGAATGGTCCGTGGTACCCAGAACCCAGTAGCCTACTGTAAATGCCATTGGGCTCTTGCCTGCTGCCTAGGGTTCCAAGTTCTTGGGAGGTTGGTAGCGTTGTCGGCTTTCTTTCGGAAACCCGAACCCCAAGCTCTGAGCCTTACTAAATGTTGTTCAGCCCGTCCACATGCCAGTTTTGTGGGGTGTGGAGTTATATCGACTGCCTGGTCAAATAGCCAGTAAGCATGTCAAACAGGTTTTGTAGATTTTTGTAGTTTCTAAGTACTTAATGGCAAGTGCTTTTACGGATGTAGGAACTGGTCGCACAACTTGCAGAGACGGTCAATCAACCATGACCGGGCATGACATTTGGCGTGCACGGCCAGCGTTGGCTCAGCTTAGTTACCACGTGCCATACCTTCAAGCCTTCAAGCACTGCAACATTTGAAACATTCAGTCCTGCACCCTGAACGTGTATATATATATATATATATATGTGCGTATTAGAAGCATTAGAAGAATCACTCAAGTTTCAAGATTGAACATCCATGTAACCCATACCCTTGGCAAAGCTGGCTGTTAGAACACCCTCACACGACAAACCCGCATGAGCAGGCTTTCACCCTATGTAGACCCGTAGAATCCCGCAGTTGTCGGAACAAGTAGTACTAACATATATCCCGTTGTGGTCCCCCTGTATAATCCCCTTGTAACTGTCCTTGAATATGCTCTAAAACTCTTCTGATAATGGCGGTGCCTGTCATAAGCCGCCTTGCAGCTATACTGCAATATTCCCTCGAAGCCTGTTCCGATTATTACGGCCTCTATCAGAAGCCCAAGACCGAGCAACCGAAGTGCCGGTGCCAGGCCCCGCGCCCCGCTGCCTTGCCGGAAGGGAGCTCGCGATCGCTTTCTGCTTCCGGCTTTGTCGGCTCAGGTGGGGTGTCAGGTTATCGAGTGCTTATGGTCTAGGGTTCAAGTTTATAGGGTTTAGGGTTCAGAGGCGTCGGGCTCTGTTGGCTCAGGTGTGCTTTGGGGCTTTTGGGGTTTAGAGTTTAGAGTTACATTTCTTTGTAGAAAGGACCTTTAGGGCGTACGCTTTAGGGCTTTCGGATTTTGGGTTTCATGGGTGGTGTTTAACCATGTAGTAGGTTTAGGGATGGGTGCTTTGGGTCTGCGGCTCTGGACTTATAGAGCTTGAGGGTTAGAGAAACTCGACACTCACAGCAGTGTCTCTAGTTTGCAGAACCTGCCTTTGTTTTTTGGGGGGATCGGGAGCACGGGTGGCATTGTATTGCTCCTGTTACCCTAATTAAACCCTATAAGCCCTAAACCCCTAAACCCTAAACCCTTAAACCCCTAAACCCTAAACCCCTAGTTGGAGCGGGTTCGCGGATATGATCTGTGGCGAGGCAGGGAGCATGTGCTAGAGGAGGCCACGGATCTCCGCGACTTCATAGGTGACCCCGAGACCCATTTGGGAGTTTCCGAAAATAGGGGATCCTAATAGATATATATATATATATATATATAGAGAGAGAGAGAGAGTACCCTAAATGGTATTAGGATCCTTATTATGAGGACCCCAAAATATGCTACCCCTATTTTTCGGAAACTCCCATTTAAGCAAGGAAGCTACTTCACGTCATCTTAGGGGTCTATTTTTCCAGGGTACTAATCTACCGGAAAGGTGTCGGGGCTCCCAGTGTAGGTAAGCCTTGGAGCATGAGCCCAATAATTCCCAAAGCCGTAAGCCCGAAGCCCGCGACCCTAAGAGACCTTAATCCTATATCCATCTGCTAGGAAGCCGCCATTCACCAGAAAGTGTGCAGAGCTTCTCTGGCTGATGCGCCTTGGCAGATTTCACGTGCTTTAAACTTAAATTTACAGGATTGAATCGGGGTTCTACAAAATTTGTGTTCAGGGTTTTAAGGGTTTTGTACATGGGTCGTTCGTTTTCATGCGGCGAGAAGTACCTCTAACAGCGAACTCCACACAGTCAATTCATCCAGGTCTGCAGCCTGCCAAGGGCCGTCACCGGTGCAGGTGGGCCGGGAGCATCGGGAGGGCTGCTCGCAGCTTCATGCTGGAATCGAGTTTGTTTGAATGACGTCGGCAGAGTTGATAGAAGCCGGTCAACCACGTGCCAACTTCGTTGGAACGCTGTTGGCTCAGTCGGCTGCTGTCGTCGCAACTGTCGACGGCAGGAGGCGTTAGCTACCCTTTCTTTGACAAATTGTTATCCATATGCCCAGAGTGATGACAGCTGGCCTTGAGCTCCAGCGTCATGTTCCCAGGCAGCAGGGGCAGTCGTTTGCTGTGCTTTCAGTTGGATGCTGCTGGCATGGCTAATGTGGGTGCCTCTCACCCGCAGTGACACCAGAGAAGCACCCAAAGTCCTGTAGGCTCTCCATATGGTCCTCAGGTTCTTTCTATGCAGCCCGAATCGATGCGACATGACATCTTAAGAATCCGTGCTCCAAGTTGACGTCTGGGCAACAGTGCACGGCTCAGGCTAGCTTCCACTACAAGACTCTGTCTTTTTTGCATTGCGGCCCTCTTTGGGACATCTGAGCGCCGCCCGGATGCATCAGTACCCAAATTCCTGGGTTTGAAGAGTTATTTCTTTTTCAATGTGCCCGACACGATGTCTGATGCTTGCTTACAGCCCAGCCGCAATTCCGCATGTTTTCTGATATCCATCCTGGTGCTCCAGTTTGAGGCTTGGGGATCACGGATGACTTTCCGAACTCCTGTGAAGGCCAAGGGCTTGCAGTCCGAGGGCTCACTGGAGAGTTGGATGCGCTTGGGTTTAGGGTTTAGGGGTGTTGTAATTGCCCTTTGAGGTGGAAGCTTCACATTACGTTTCGGAGGTGTCTTTGCAAGTCAACTGTGTTGTGGGAGTTTCCGTGAATTAGGGGTACCCTATTTCGGGGGTCCGTATAATATGGATCCTACTATATAGGGTACTGTATTGGGGTCCCCTGTTTTCTGAAACTCCCTTTTGTGCTTTTCAGGGGCCATGCTCAACCTCGACTCCTTGACCTAGCCTGTCCACCTTTTTAGTTCCCTACTGGAACCTACCCTAACCTCCCAAAACCTACTTTTTTGCACGGTCCCTGTATTTCCATATTAGGGTATATAATAAGAAACTACAAAAAAGTAGGGTTTGGTAGTTTAAGGTCCATCTCTGTGCAGGTCGCATCACTCTCAGAGGCCGCCAATACCAAGTTTCCACGGAGCACATCGTAAACGCAAGTCGCAGCTGCGTTATCCACGCGGAGCATGGCACGATGCTGATGCTGAGCGCCCCGGTGCACTTCCTGGGAGATGTCCGCCTTACAGGAAGCCTGCAGGTGCTTGGCATCGGGGTCCACATACGAGTGCGTGGTTAACTTATATAGGCCCTCATATATCCAGTCATCCAGTCGTAGCCATCCCGAGACCTTACAATCGGACAGACTGCAGGTGGTAGCCCAGGGGGACATGAAGTCCGACAGCTGCTTCGTCGTGAAGGGTAGCCTGACGCTAGAGATGGATCTCCTCCGGATGAGCGGTTGCCGCTCGATGGGCCATGGTGGCGCTTTACGAACTCTGGGAGATCTGACCGTGATAGGAGGAAAGTTGGAGTTCGACGACTGCCATGCTTTCCAGGGTGGAGCCGTCTACGTCGAAGGCAGGACACAAATCAGGGGAGGAGAAGCCACGTTTACAAAATGCACGGCATCCATGAGTGTCAGGGGCTTCAACACCCGCAAGGCCACGCATAAGTTTCTGCGCGAAATTCACCGCGTGCGCTTTCACCAGCTCCAGTATTGTGGGGGAGGGCTTGCCGTCGACGGATCTCTGCTATTGCAAGAAGCTCGGATGACGTTTGAGAGCTGCAGTGCAGAAGAATTCGGGGGAGCCCTCTGCGCCGCCTGATTTGTCTGAAATGCGAAGACCTTTTCAATTTGTTCGTCGAGGAATGTATCACTTTCAGGTTTCCAGTGAGATCAATGGAGCATCCGGAGCTTTGCGTGCGTTTGTTCCGATTTCAGCCCAGGTTATCGGAGGATTCGACCAACAGGGCGGGTCCATGAACTTCAACACCTGCACAAGTGGACGTGCCGCAGGGGGGGTGTACGTTGCTGTGACAGACAAGCAATCACGCGGTTGTCGCGTTTTGCAGAGTGCCGGTTCATCCGGCACTTGTTTTTTAAACTCGAAAGCTTGTATGGACTGAGTATATAGACTCTTAGACAGATGTCCTGCCAGGTTAATGGGAGCTTCTACGAGGAAAGTGGTGCCATGTACTTCAAGAATTGCACGAGCAGTGAGAAAGGAGGTGGCATGTTCCTGCGCTGCACTCAGGCTGGCTCCAAGTCATGCGGAATCAGCCAATCACGTTTGACGTTCCGTTCCTGCTCCTCTGCCGTGGGGGGTGGCCTGTCGTTGTCCGGGGCTCTGGACCTGATGCATTCCAACGCCAGCTTTGAGTACTGCCGTGCGGCAATTGAAGGAGGAGGACTTGGGGTCACGAGTGGGTCTGCAGTTTCAGCTCGAGTTGTGAGTCTCGAATTCAAGCAGTGTGCTGCCGGCAGATATGGCGGTGGAATTCACTCCCTTAAGGCAAAGATGAGACTTGACCAGTCTAACATGACCTTTGTCGAGTGTACGGCTGGTCGAATAGGAGGTGGCTTCGCGGTCCGTGACGGACGGCTCACCCACGCCCGTGGCAAGATGTCGTTCCACTTCTGTAAGGCTTATGCGGGCGCGGCCTTCAGCTCTACTTTGGGTGCTGAACTGGCTGACGTTGACGTTGACATGTGCACCAGCTTGGGTGCAGAAGTCACGAGTTCCATGGGCAATATTTCGATTCAACGTTTGACCTTTGTCTACGATGGTCCTTCTGCTGGGTATGAGCCGTCTTTGGTGGCACCGAACGTTTCCATATCAGAAGTGAATTGCACAGCAACCCACCAGTGCACTTTGCGTGCTGCCACCTTGCGCATCCCGTCCCTACTTTGCCCACCTGGGCGCGAAATCGAAAAGCATTCTGCCTCCCTTCCTCATGAGCCACACCATGGCTGCAGATTGTGTGAGCCCGGGCATCTTGGCTGCGTTGGCCTGTCTGGCAGAAGCCCGCTTTTGATTGCGATGTCTCCATGGCACTGAGGCATTTTCAGCCGCTTCCATGGCGCAATCCGTATTGCTTCCCATGCCCCGGCGAAGCAAAGGCATGCGACGCCGTGTCTGTGACAATGCAGGCCAGACCGACCGTGCAGCTAGAAAAACCTCAAAGCCTACTCTTGGCATTTCTCTATGCATATGTAGTTAGCTAATTATCAGTGTAATGAATCGCAAAGATAGCTGCGTTTTGATTCCGTCCGGCCCGGACTGCGGAACGCTCAGAACTGGGACCGCCCAACCAGCACGCTCGGCACACGGGCCTTTGATTTGAAGACCGCCATAAAAATGTCGGACACACTTGATGTTCCTTCGTCAGATCAAACAGCTCTACAGACCCAAATTCGCAGTGCTTCGGCCAATGTGATATTTTCTCCAAAGCCCGAACACCCAGCAACATGGGAACAACTTCTCGGAGCCACCCTCCCGCAGGCAAATGGGTTAGACACTGCAAACTACATTGAACTGTTCGAATGCAGAGCGAGGGCAGGTGCTTGCCGCAAATGCTGTGATGGTGTGATCGTTGCTTTCGTAGTTCAGGGCCCTGCACTTCGTCCTGGAAGGCTGGCTACATGCTCAATGTCCCGAATCTCTCGTCGCTCATTGACTTCAGCGAACTGGAGTCGGTTAAGCGGACCTACTTCTGTCCGAATGCTGCTTCCTGCCCAGGATGCCGCAGGTTCAGTGTTTGGATCTCATGAAAGCTTGCGAGTGGATTTCGGCTGGCCAAGCCTTAGTGGACTGACAGACAAACTTGGGACAGGTAGGGCTATTCTCAGCATTAAGGCACTTAACAGGAGCTGCTCACGGCTCTTCCTTCAGCACCTCCGAAGTTTACCAAACGGGCCGAAACATTCACCAATACTACTGCGGCAGCTCCTTGTTATAATGATTGCATAATATGCCCCAAAGCCATATTCTAGTAATTATCAAGGTCCCCTCTATTCTAGTACCCTTTGCGATCCCTTATAGTAGCCCTTATAGACGCTTCTTCAAAGGGATCACTTGTTAAGGGTCGCCTTATTAGCCCCTGCCTTTGCTCAAAGCCTCGAGCTTGGAGAGTCAAATAAAGCACTAAGCTGCAAGCAGACCTTTCTTAGAGGCTCCGTATACTGCCTTGTTCTTTGCAGGGAATGGGGGAATGGATTATGGAGACTACTAAGTTACTAAGGGGGGTTTATACAGGGACTGCTATGGGGATCCGTTCCCCCACGCTACTAAGCACCAGACAGTATATAGTACCATTATGTAGGTCCACTGGGATGGGTTTATAGAGACTACTATAAGCGACCTGAGGCGACTATCATACTGTTGATGGTATAAATCCTGCATTACCCATAACAAGGAATATACCATAATTCCCATGGTCTACAGGGTCATTGAGGTATTGGAGGGTTTATACCACAACCGCACCATTTAGGATGGTCTTTTGGGGCCTAATTCCATAATCATACTATATATGGAGCCTCTGCGTTGTCCACGATCAGCAAATGGATGGATAGGGTTTATCCGTTCCAAGCAGCCCGTAGATGTCGTAGCCAGGCGTATTCTATGATGTGACTTAAATCAAGGCATATCAATGCAGGAAGATTTATGTGTGTTTTGCGAGCAGACTTAGCGCACGCAAACAGGCATAGCGCATGCCATTTGCGTGGGCAGGCGTGTTTTTTGTATGCTGCTTGGTGTACTTTGTTCACGGTGGTGTCCCTGAGCTGCAGGAGGACGGCTGGCCTACCAGAATCAGACAGCTATGTGTTCGCCAGGGGCGACCGGTGAAGGATGTGAGTTCTCAACGCCCGGCTATGCTGACGGGGATTATGCCAACCCGTATGGCAAGTTCGAATGTCCCACTGCGCCGTCGGTTTGGGTTGCGGCTGCCAGCTACCTATTCGGCAAGGATCTGTTTGTTTTCGTGCTCGCTTCCTCTTCAGTGCTCGGTGCAAAAGCTGGGAGAAAGGAGAGTGCCGTCCTTGTGAATCATTTGATGGCCTTTGGCATCATTGCTTCCCGCTGTTTGGCGGCCCTGATGCAGACCGAAGTTTTTGCTGGGCAGTCCGTGTTTTTCAGAGACGTGTTGGATGCATGGGGCATTGTGATTGATACAGGAACTGGACAAGCCGCTTCCGGCACACCTGTATCTTGCTTTCCGAAGGCCATGTACGACGATTCCGGTTTAACGGGCTTCTTCCTGAAATTCGCTTTGGCCAATGCTCCAGCCCTGCTACTGGTGTGCGTCTTTGGTTGCGCGAAAGGATTTTGGCTCAGCATCATTGTAGGGAGTAACTGCTTCTTGCCAGCATTTTGCGGACGCCTGAGTACGCTCCTCATATCATTTAGGCCAACCGCAGCTGATGGTCCTCGGTTCTATTATGACATTGATAACGGTCAGCAATGGATGATGGTGCTTGCAACTGTCATGGTGCTGACCATCTGCTTCAGTGCTACAATCTGGTTGTTTTTGCGGGCGACGCATTCTGACCAGGACCCTGGCTCGCTGCAAGTGTTATACCTGGCGGCTCCTTACAAGCCACAGTATGCCTCGTGGGAGGTGGAGCGGCTACTGCGCAAGATGACATTCAGTGTGATTTGTACGGCCTTTCCGGTGACAATGCACCCCATGACCCAGCTAGCGCTACTGGCCTGCATTTCGATTGTGTCGGCTGCGCTGTACTTGAAGCTGCAGCCCTATAGCCTAGCCAAATTCAACGAAATGGAGACCGGCTTGCTCTTGGCAGCCAACGTGATGGCCGTTCTGACTCTACTCAGTTCCCATCCATCAGCGGATTGGGGTACATATTTACCTGGCATCCAGTTCGCGGCAGGTATGGCCGCCGTTTCAATCGGCACAGGCTGCACGGTTTGGATGGCCATCCTGATAGGCGCTGCATTTATGACGGAGCGTGAGAAAGAGTAAGCTGCACGTGAGTGCGCAAAAAGAGTGCCTGCTTGGAGGTTGCTTACGAAAACCCTCAAACCATCTTAACCCTAAGCTGTCAGGGTCAGCAAGACCCTGCCCAGATATGGGTATGCATCCAGACCAGAAGTTTTTCCAGACCCCAAGCATGTTTGGATCTGTATTACAAGGGCGACGAGCACGGACCCATGGATTCAAGCCTCCTGCAAAGTGTCCGAACGTTGTGCCAGCATACTTCTCGAGCGCTGGGTTCCGTAACCGAGTTCCCTTTCGTGCCGATAACAGCCCCATCGTGCCAGAAGTTTTCGGAGAACAATACTTAAACGCCTAAACCAGACCATAGAGCCATGTCTTTGGGGCCTTAGCTTCCGTTCGAAGGTCGGCACTGAAATAATTTAATATGCACGTCCCCTACTAGCCCCCACGCCCCACATTACAGTGCGTGTTGCCGTCTTCTCTTGATGTATACTTGATGAACAGCAGTGGCAGCAGCACGACCCTCTCCTCGAAGCCCTATACTGCATATACAGGCCCCTGAATCTTGGGGGGACGGTCTTCACAACTCCCCAAATACCTCGCCGCGAAGCCTGAGCCCCTAATCAACCTAAGCCCTATATCAGGTAAGCCCGAAGCCTTAGACCGAAAAAGAAGCATCAACCCTAAGCTTCCCAAATGCAGAGCCCTAAATCCCAATTCGAGGCCAGGGTCTCGGGTCCGCCTTGTCAGGATAGGGACGTGTGCAAAGCCCGAAGCAGGGTTTCGGGTTTTGAGGGTATAGGGCTTTAAAGCTTTAGGGCTTGACAGAGGGGTTGAGGGTTTAGGGTTTGGGGGGTATAGGGCTCTACGGCTTTAGGGGGTGAGGGTTTTAGGGTTTAGGGTTTCGGTGAGTGCTCTGGTTCCAATGCTTACTCTGGTTGTTTATTTCAGGACAAAGCGTGTCCGCATGTAAAGGCTGGATCATCAGGAACGCGTACTTAGAAGTCTCGACGTGAGGGTTCCGTCCATAGCAACCTAGAGCAGTACAACTATTGATTGTTGCGCTTCTGAGACTTTATGCTTATCGCGTGCTGAAACACCGCAGCCCGAAAATCGAATGGCTGCTTTGCCCTGTACAGGGGCTCGAGGTTTTGATGGGTTGAAGCTCAGGGAAGAAGTAGCTCAGATACAGACTTGAACCATTTGGGGTTGAAGCCTTCCCTGTACGCGCCCCAACATGCAAATGTGCACAACTTAATCCCCACGAACATTTCACGGGAGCATCCTCACTCACGCTGTGCGCTTTGCCTCATCAGGTACTGGAACCTGCTGGTGGCGCCTTCAGTTCGCCATCGACGGTGCTACCTTGTAAACTTTAGTTCACGACCTGTGAAACTTAACAACTGAGGTTCATGTAACCCCAAAGCACCTGAACCCTAAACAACATTGGGCCGTAAACCAAAAGACGTAAATCGATTGCCAAATGATTTCCGAGTCCCGAAATCAAACTCTACATAGCCTGTGAGCCCGAAGCCTTTTCAACCCTAAACCCCCCCAAAGCGAGACGCAAACCCAAAGAGCTAAACCCTAAACCCCCAAGCCCTGAACCCTAAACTAAAAAGCCTGAACCTGAACCCGAAACCACAACCTAAGGTCAACCCGACAGCGTGCTTGAACCCATAATAATAGTAATTATAATGATCGACAACAATCATACTCATCATACCCAAAATAAACATAATCACAATAATAACAGTTCTCGTATTCATATTAATAATAGCACTAATAATATAATCAAATATAATCATCATAGTAACAATAATCATAATATTAAAGCCCCCCGTTCAGTTCAGGTCAGGTCCTACCCTGGGTTTAGGGCTCGGGGTTGCCTCCTCGGCTGCCTCCTCCTTTGAAGACAGCCAGTCCTGGAGCTGGGGCTTCTATTGCAGAAGTAAGGCCCACAAAATAAGCCCAAATAATTACGGCCCCAAAAAAAGCACATAAGCAAAACTCAGGTTTGTGATATCCCATATAAACCCCGTTACAATGAAGCCCAACAAGTAGAGTTTTCCCTTTCAATTGCTTATGCTTATGTTGCTTTGGAGGTCTCTAATCACTACTCGTACCTGTATTATTCCTCAGGGTTCCTTCCTATAACTAGACTACAAAGGAGCCCAAACCCTATTCTAATTATTACGGCCCCTATATCAAGAAGGCCATGAATATCCACAAATGGTGGCACCTCTTGTGAACCTATTCGAGTTTGTAGTCAGGGCCCCATATAGTAGCGCAACAAGGTGACCAGACGTGAACTATTGGAACCCGATCTAGGTACATCACAAGTCGTCCTGAGTCCAGTTCGCGCTTGGGTCTTCTGATGATGGTTGATCTAGGTTTTGGGAATATTGTAGGACTCTGATCAAGAAACCTTGGGCCTTTATTACTGTTCCTTATATGAACCCTACTATTTGGGGTTATAGGCTCAGGGTTTCTTAATCAGGTTCCTAGATTAAAGTGTTTGCCGTTAAAGGGGCCATGGACCAATGGATAACGAAAAGCCGCGTGCTCGGCACAAGAAGGAAAAAGCGTGCTGCTTCGAGACTATGCGAACAAACGGCTGGTGCCGCTTCCCGAGTCTTCAGGCATTTCTGAGCAACTCCATCCCTTTGGTTACCGTGCACTCAACAAGTGTTAATCCCTGCAAGATAAGCCCCCAGACCCTAAACCCGAAGACTCTACGCCCTGTAAGAACTGAACTCAGCTAAGCCTTCTAAGCCATCCTCAAACCCCGGAAGACCCTTCTGAACCCCTCATAAGCGCCTGATTTATGGAACTCCAAGCCCGAAACCCTGAAACCCCTAGACCCGATACTGGAAAACCCAGTGTACGTATGTATGTATGTATGTATGCATGTATGTATGTATGTATGTGTTCATGCATGCATGTGTGCAGGCATGCAATCCTTAATAGCCGTTCTGAAAGGACCCTTGAACAATAACCTTTGTACAACCTTATGATCCGGGGCTCAAGTCTACACAGCTTGCCCGGGAACCGAAACCCCTTGGCGACATGAGTGCGGGAAACGACAGGCGGGGCCGTGGCCGTCTTCGGGATATTAGGGACGGGGAACAGCGTTGAGAGGTTTCCGTTGAGGCTTCCGGGTTTAAATTATATCTACGGCTTGGGGTAATGGATCGGGATTGGGGGGTCTGGTTGGTCTTGGGTTTGGATTTTGGGTTTCTACTGTAGGGGTATGGTTCATCTAGCTTTTTTACGTGCTAGGCTCCTCCACGTCTTTGCAGTTCTGAGGACAATCCGGTCTGCAAGCTTGATGTTTCCAAATTTGCAGCGGGTCGCCAGCCTCGTTGTGCAGACGCACAAAGCCTCAAGCCTGGTCTGCCTCGGCCCGGTCGACCTGGGCACGGCTGCAGAGGGAGAATAAGTACGGATAGACAATGGGGAAGGACGGGGCGCGAGGGGACACGGGGTGGGGAGGGGAGGACCGGGAGCATGCTACCCAAACAAGTTTGGGTATAGCTCTTATGAACCGTACTGCGACCCAGAGGCCTAAATCCTTGCGCCCTTGGGCCTTTAGGGAATTCAGAAAGTGGGCTATAGATAAAGTTGCAAGTGCCCAAATTGGTGTTGTCGTACTTATGCTTGTACCTGTACCTTACTTACTAAGTATGGGTAGTTCTCCAAGTCAAGGTTTCAGTGGATCCTCAAAACAGTACATCATCACGCAAGACTGTTTAAGCGGCACTGATGTAGATAACTACCGTTCAAAAAACTTGTACAGAACCTCATAAGACCCTCAACCCAAGCCCTAAACCCTAAACTCCAGCCCGCAAACTACTTGAGTCCTTGAGCCTTCTGGGTGTCTGCCAGTTCCAAGCGCAATGCTGCCGAAGCCTTCGGCCAGCAGCTTCCTTCTATGGGTGCCAGGGTCCTGGCCGGAGCGGTTTAAAGGGGTTCTGGGGTGCAGGGTTTAGGGTTTTAGGGTTTGGGGTTCTGGGTTTAGGCTTCTGGGCTTTAGGGTTTAGGATGAGGGGGTTCTGGGTTCTGGGGTTCAGGGTTTAGGGCGTGCCTAAGCATCAAGAGCTAGTTCGCAGATCCATGTGTTCGTTGGCGTGACGTTTTTTCGATACGACCCCGATTGGCCGAAACGGCTTTCCGAAAATAGGGGACCCCAATGGAGTACCTTAAATAGTAGGATCCGTACAAAAAGACACCAAAATACCGCACCCCTAGTTTCAGGAACTCCCAAACAATTCTTCAACAGGGCACTAAGACTAAGAGTCGGGGTTGTTTTGGGTGTAGAACCCTGCGCACTCAAGCTGCAGCCCTCCCAGAGATGTCAACAAGCCCATATTGGAAGCCTCGTAGGCTTGTAGCCTTTATAGCAACCCTTTGTAGATTAGGCAGCAGTTCGGAGCTTCGCGGCTTTGTGGAGGTTTCAGATCGTAGATCGCTTTGGGTTTGGAGCTTTGGGGCCGGCTTGGGGTTGTAGGGTCCTGCAGCATTGGAGGTGCAGGATTCCTGAGCTTTCGAGGCTTGATCTCCCTCTTAGTTTACTCTTACTACTATTTGCTTAAGAACCCCCCAAAAAAATAAAAAAATATAACCCCTATATTACCCCCATAAGGAATATATTTTTTATTTTTTGGGGGTTCTTAAGCAAATAGTAGCTTATTAATAGGCAAGATAGGTTACATATTGAAGTTGCGGCCTACAATCACAGCTGCAGTGCAGCCGACCGCTAGAAGCTACACCCCAGATCTGCTTTTTTGTTGAACCATCGGGATCCTCTTACCGTGAGTACACCCTCGGCCCCTCCCCCATGGGTCTGAGTACACGATAATCATATACTCTCCGCAATGCTTTGCCAGAAGGGTTTGTGACGGTTTAATTTGTATTTAGGGTCTTTGGCCAGAGGCCTCAAATATCAATAAATATCGGGTGTTCGGTTGTCGGCAGCAGAAGCAACAGCAGATTTTGTCCGAGCTGCTCAGACAAGCATGCAT